CCTTCCCATATACTACTTCATTACTTTGTAGCAAAGTTAGGTCTGTGGAGTCTGCAGAATCAGGTCCAAGGCTTCCTCTCTGGCAAAGGCATTCCCTCTCTTCTTTCCTCCCTTCCTCCCTGTGTGGGTGAGGAGGGAGGAGGTGCTTGGACTACATCCTCCCTTTCCTCTCAGAAGAGCTTCAGACAGACTGAGGGGCAAGTACTATTCCCTTACAATCCCTCAGGCGAGTTTTTCTGAACAAGGAACTTTAGTTGTAAGGGAACAAAGTGTCACCAATTTTGGGCAACAATCCAGCAATGTCCAACCTACAACTGTGCACCCCAGGGATAGCTATGAATAGACCCCAACATAAAACCATAAAAATAATTAGAACATTCAGACTTTTTTGCATTTTAGGGAGGAGTTGATGATTTCATGGTGTGAACTTTGTAGGCAACAATGTCTTGTCACAATATCAAAACGCTGGGCACACCTAGCAGAGCTTTCTTACAGACACTGGTCTCTCCAGTTGAGTCAACTTCTCTATACCCTCCTTAAAGAAGGCAATAGCAAAAACCCTTTTCAAAGTATTCTGGGAAACAACATGTCTTCCAAATCCTGTTTTTCCCACAATAATGTTATCTATTTTAGGAAAGCCTGAACCAAAAGAAAAAGAGGAGTTTGGAATATAATACTTCCAAAGCAACGGCTCCCAGGCCACATCAGAGTCCCGAGCAAGGCAGAGCCCAGGGGTGCCTAGGGAGGTGTTTAACAGCTTCCAATGACAGACCAGAGGCTCCGGCACAGTGCCCAACCCAAACACTGCATCCTCTACCTCTCCAATAAAGAACCACGATTTTCAAAGCCTGGTTCAAAGAAAAGGCAGTACAAGCTCCTGGCAACCTGAACAAAGGCAGAAACCACCCAGGTTGGACACACATCCGCACAACACACACCCAACTCTACCTCTTAACCAGGAAGGTTAAGCTGGTTTTGCACTACCCCCTAGTTGTTCTTTGGAAGTCTGTATTCAAGTTCTTCCATCATCTTTCAGACACTCAGGGGAAGACACTCTTCTCACACAACCTCAATAATGCTATTATGGGATGCTTATCTGGGACATTCAACAAACACTTCTGTTTTAAAGTTAAAAAAAAATTAGTATAGGCTAAACCAGGACTTCAGAAGCATGACCTCGGAGAGGTAGCGAGAGGATACTTTTAAGAAAAACTGTCGCAGGCTGGCCTCATACTATGTAGCCAAGGGTGGCTTTGATCTGATCCTCCAGCTACGACAGGCATGTGCCACCACACCCAGTTTCGGTTCTTTAAAAAAGCTGATTTGGGGATAAGGAAACGGCTCTGTTGGTAAAGTGCTTGCTGGGCAAACATAAGAACCTGAGTTGGGAACCCTAGAACCCCTGGGAAACCCAGGAAGAGCCGCATATGTATGTAAGCCCAGCATTGGGGAGGGAAATAAGGAATAAGCTTGGTATGTTAAACCAGGTCTGTCTTCTCAGGAATAATTCTTTTTAAACAAAATTTTAAATGTTCTGATGTTGGAAAGATAATTTGATCACATTTTTTCACCACCATACAGTTCTACATACAGCTACTAGAGAAAAAGGCATACTCAAAAAGTAATTGTTTGTAACCTGTAATTTATATCTGACTGTTAAACAGTATAAAAATGTGGTTCTTGTATCTGACTTTTCCCTGTTCCTATCTATACAAGGATACTTTTTATGGTGTAAACAACCAAAACAACAATGAAGAGATGTACAGGGAACTCACAGGTTGTCTGTGAGTCCGGGCTGGGATGGAATGAGATGTTGATGGGTGTACCATGAAAGCTCTTCAGTTGGGAGCAGAGACACTGAAGAGACTGGGGGGCAGGGAGGAAGAATCCAAGAGCTAGAGCCAGTGGGGTTTAGGCAGAGCTGAGCAGGACAGCCTAGGGGAGCCCGGAGCGTGTCTTCTGGAAGAGAAGCATCCCTGGGGCGACCAAAGGCAAAGGCTGTACAGCACAGACCCTGCCTCCCTGACAGCTGCAGAGTCCTGATCAGTGTGTGAGGCACAGGCTGAGCAAGAGGAACGTGCCCTTTCAGACGACATCAAACCACACAATTAGATCCACTCCATGCAGGGCCACAGAGGTCAGAGGCATAATGGGAAAAGAGCAGACACATCAGAACAGCTTCATGTCAGAACAGAGCAGCTGCCTGAGAGGGACACCTTGTGTCACCCTGGAACAAAGGAGCAGAAGTCACTGCGATAGCTTGCTGCCGGGCTGACAGGGAAACGCAGGTCCAGCTGCTGCAGAAACAGACTATCATGAAGGCAGGGGGGTTTTGTATTGGTTCCTTTTACCTTACAAAAGGCAGCTTGAGGGAGGAAGCGTTTATTCTGGTTCAGTTCAGAGTCTGCATTCCCTCATGGCGGTCAGAGTGGCTTGTTCCACTCTGGGAGCAGGGAAAGGAAGGCCTTGGTTTCTGAGCATTGTGGAACAGCTCTTACCGAGGCACAGAGTCCGTGGGCTCCCTGCCCCCTGAGAGTGTTATTTCAGCGGAGCAGATGTGCCACTGTGTGTCAACTATCCACGTCAGTGGTCACGGTGAGAACCCCATGCTGGTAAATTCTAAACACCAGCTTGATTGGATTAGGAACCATCTAGGGCACTACTGAGGCATACTTTTGGGTGTGTTTATGGAGAGGTTCACGTGGGAGGAGGCCCACCCTGACTGTGAATGGCAACATCCCTGACCTGAATACGGGGAGGGGTGAAGGGGGAAACACAGGTGAGTGATGGCCTTCCTTTCCCTGCAGTCATTACTTCTCCTTGTACTGACCCAGAACTTCTCGAGGCAGATTGGTAATTAATAAACAAAAATATTCACGACTACATATTTGCTTTAAAAATTCTTTACAGCCTCAAATATGCCAATAAGCAGGAAGGTAACTGGAGATGGCTGTGCATGGCACGGCACCCCACAGGCTTCAGGATCCCCTCAGCTTAGCAGCTGAGGCTTCGGGGCTGCCGTATGTGTCTTGTTAGTCAATGGAATGCAAACGCTAGTTCCAGAAAAAACCTGAATTGAAATGAAGTGCCAGACTTGACAAGGAACACACTACAGTCGAATCACTGATGAGCCTATGGAAGAATCAAACAAGAGCAATCACACACGATGATCACGTTGGAGCAACAGGGTTTATCACTCAGGCATAAGTGACTAGAATATAAATTCACAAACCTGACTTAATACAAGTAACAGCTGCCTGTCGTGTGTTACCCTTTATGTCCTGTAAGCTTAGGGGTTAAGGGTGGGATTTCCCTCTGTATATTTCTTACATCTCTTCTCTATACATGGGGCTTAGATGGTCCTCAAAGAACTCCCTCACTCTTGCCACAGTGCCAGAGGAAAAACTGTGCTTTTGATTACAGGCTGTCCAGAAGCCCCTAATCAGATGCACAAACCGTCGTTTATATAGCAATTTTCTTCTTTACTTCGGAGATATCTGTATAGGACGCTAAATTACATAATAGCTTTGTCATTGGGACTTGTGAAAAGTGAAACATCATGTAAGGCAAACACTGAGGTCTTCTCAAATTCAATCACCTTATTTCCTTCTAGAATATACTACGTACATTATTAAAGTCTATAGAAGCTTCCTTAAAGAAACGGCTCTGTCACCTTTCAATGATGTGAGAGACAAGTCTGCTCTGGAACCTGACGGCTGCTGCATGCAATCTGTCCTTCCAGCATGGAGAGCAGTGCCCAGCACTGGGGCCAGGAGTCATGCCTGTGTACTGTCCTGCCTCTGAGCCTGCAATCTCCATCCTGGAGGCTAAACTGCCTTCATTCTAGAATGGGCCAGGCAATTCTCTGAGTGTTAGACACAAAAGCAATGCTAGTGGTGCTCTCGTCCAGTCACACCTTGGCAGAGGGGCGCACACATGAGCAGCTCTTCCAGCTGCATCTCTTCCAACGGTCACAGGAGCTTCTACTAGCTCAGTGTGAGCCAGGAAGTCACCAGGGCAATTCATCCCTCCCCCTCCCCCCTTCCTCTTCTCTATTACCCCCTGGAGAATTAAAGCCATAATAAGAGTAGCTGAAAGTGTCCATTCTGTGTGTAGATATAAATTCTCTGTCCAAGGGGGTTTAGCAATAGGTTAATGTGAGTCTGAAAAATACAGTCCTTCCCAAAGACGCAAACTGTGCTTATCAATGGTGGACAACTTTCCCCTTCCTTCCTGGCTTTACTACCCCTTGCAAAATGGGGAAAACTGAAATGTTGATTCTGATTATTTGCCTTTGAAGCAAAATACCTAACCTGAACGTTCTAGTCATATAAAAGTATTGGGCCTGAATTCACACAGCCCATTAAAATTCTAAATGAGGATCTTACCATTCATGTGTCTCAGCTTTTAAAATCAGCTTATACACACAGTGTACGCTTGTGTAAAAGTATCCTCGTCATAACACAGGGCCAGGTACAATGAATATGCACAGCAAAACTTGAAAAACAAAACCTGTGAGACCTGACAAGTCACCAGATCAGAACACAGGCTGATTGCCACAGAAGTTACCAATGTGCCACCCACTTCCTTCCTCCTCCACCTCCCTCCACACGAGAAAGGAGCATTTACAAAGAAATAATAAAATGTGCACAGATCTGCTTTTCACATTTTGTTCATTTTCCAACCCGTACTGTGCATGCCTATGAATGTTTTCTAGGATATTTAGTTTAGTTCTGAATGTCACATAAAACATGAGTAACAAAAGAATCAATAAGAAAGGCTTCTACTTTAGGTATTCTAGGAGACATTTGTACAAACAACTGTTTTGTTTTTTTAAAGATCAGTTTTAAAACCTACTCAAAATGCATCAATAGACTAGCTGCTCAGCTCTCTCCTCGAGTGAGGCAGGTGCCTTTCATCACTTAGGGGCACAACTCAGGACAGTAGCGCCAGCGGAGCAGTGGAAGGAAGGAAGGAAGCCCTCGTCAGACTTGACCTACCTCATAGAACATATAGAGAGACAGCAAGGTGAGTCCAAGGTTATACACCACTAGGATTCCCCGGCAAGAGAATGGTTGCTTATTCTTCATATACTTTGGCCCCAGCCATACAATTAGTAAATAGATGACAGAGCAGACAAATGTGGGTATGTAATTGTCCAGAAGAAACCATCCTTTTACTCTTGTATCTGAAAAACACCAGAAGAAAAATGTGTGGTGATTAGTAAGATACACATAAGAAAACCCACTCCCAATCCACCTGACACTAATGTTGCATTTCATCTGCACAAAGCAGAATACACACGGATACACATCAAACAGAGCGAAGCTTTTTGATACAGGTTGAGAATGATTTATTACTTGTGTTTCTACTACGTAAAATAGTAAAAACGTGCTTTCCAAAAACCCGAAAGAAAATTAAAGCTAAATTACCCACCAAGTTTATTATGTTCATTAAATTAACATGGAGGCATGAAACGTGAGTGCCCAGCATGTGCCTAGCATGTGCAGGCACAAGCTATGTGCCCTGTAGTCAGGTTAGGGACACTGCCTGACTAGAGGGCCAATGAGTAAAAAGAATGAAATGCTACTGGGTCAGAGACAGGGACTATTTAAGAGATTTAGAGCACTATAGGAACTTGAGACCCACACTAACTCAAAGGAGCTACCTGTGTAGAAGAGGACACCCCACTCTCATCCTCTCACCTAGGCCCAGGTACCTGACAGCAACAGCTACAGCCCTTCCCTCTGGCTGGACTGCCATGCTCACCCCCCTCATTTTTTTTGCCTTGATCTCACAGTTCAATAAACCACACGCTCCCTTTGGTGAACTATGTGCCAGTCTTCCTTCTGTAGAGACACTCTGAGCCTTCCCAGCATCTTTCATGGCTTGCTTTCTTCGGCTTCAGAAAGAGATGCTGCCTCTACATCCTCCCCACCAGAGTGGTGGCGGATGGTACTGTCAGTTCTAAGAACCGTCAGTTCTCAGAAGTCCTTCAGGGAAGTGGCTACAAAGGAAGGCATTCCTAACACCTTTTGTTCTCAGCCCTGGGCCTTAGCAGTCTACATTGAAAAAGTAAGTTACCACTTAATCAGCTAACATCTTCTGTGCGCACATATATTATAAATGCAATGAATATATGTAATTACCTACAAATTTTTCATGTCCTTTTACTTAAAGGTTCAGTCCAGCACCTTGCTCTTTTGTATAGTATATTTTCAGGAAGTACCCATCCTCCCTCCAAGGGTATCTATATCAGCTGGTTCCAACCCTTGCCCCAGGCAAAGGGTTCCTTGGGGTCCAGCTGATCAGGGTAGCTCACTGCTCTGTGTGGTAGCCAGTCCAGAAATGGAGATGTGGAATAGTTGTGACCACTAAGCTTTTAGGTGAAAAGCTTTCTTTGTTCTTCAACTCATACAATGAACAAATGTCTTCTTCCTATGTTGGATGTACAGCCTGGAGCGGCTGCCGTCATAAAGGAAGCCATCCTGAAGACTACGCTGCTCAGATGAGGATGGCAAAGTGGATAAATATAAAGAACAGGGCTCTTGGCAACTGTCAGAGAACCCTTGAAATAGCGCAGCAGTTACTCTTACTGGCAAAGCAAGATAATCATTTTTATTATTATTTCAGACAACTAAAAGTTGGATTTTCTGTCTCTTACAGCCAAGAAGGCGCTGTCTCGACACAAGCTGATGCAAATGCATCTGTTTTTTTCTTTGTCTCTCACTGTACAGCTTGGTACGTCTTGGAACTTGTTACATAGCTGTGCTACTCTCCAACACATGATCCTCTTGCTTCGGCTTCCTGAGTGAGGATTACAGGCTTATGCCACCACTCCCAACCTAACTCGTTTGTTTTTTCCTTCAAACTGACCACCCTCTCCTTTAACCTGTTCCTAATGGATGGGCAACTAGTTAATGCCCAGTCTTAACAATTCTGAAATGAGCATTCTTCATATATCTTTGCATAACTGATCAAGACTCACTGTAGATATCAGCTCAGGGTCACTAATCACGTGCATTTTAACTACCACAGAAGAAAAGAGGTTGTACCAAGTTAGACTCCCCACACCCCTGTGGCACGAATCCTAAATGGTCTATAATAAAAACGCGGAGCCAGATATTGGGATAAATGCTGAAAGATCAGAGAGAACAAGCCACGGCCACTTCTCACCTCGCCAACTCCTCTATGAATCCTTAGACTGAATGCCCCTGAGTCCTCAGCCTTAAGGGTACCAAACTCCTGTCTCCTCCTGCCTTATATTCCCTTCTCTGCCCAGCCATATCACTTCCTGTCTCAACCTTCTAGTGCCCGGATTAAAGGTGTGTGACTCCCAAGTACTGGGATTAAAGGTGTGTGCCACCACTGCCTGGCCTCTATGTTTATTCTAGTGGCTGCGTCCTCTGATTTTCAGGCAAATTTTATTTGTTAGAGTACAAAGTATCACCACACACCCTTATTCTTATCACAGATGGTATCAAACACCATTTCATCTTTGACATACTGAGATGAAATTCCTTGGTTGTTTTCTTCTACACTTTAAAAATCATGAGTGAAACTGAGACTCTTTTGGTCTGATAGAAGATGTTCACAAACAGCTTCCTGGTTAGGGCTTTGGGCGAAATGATTGGACTGTGAGGTCCCTGATGTCACTAATGGATGAATCCATCGCTGGGTTCACTGTTGACTGGACTACTGAGAGGCGCTGAAAACTGTAGAAGGTGGGGCCTGATGGAGAGTACAGGTCAGTAAGGCTTCCCTTGGAGGGAACACCTTATCCTGGGGTCTGTCCTTACACCCTCTGCCATGCTCTTCCAACAACGACATCAGCTTTGTCTCACGTCCAGAATGACAGGGACAGGATGGACTGGGACTTCTGAACCAGGAACAGAAATGGCCTTCCCTCCTGTAAGATGACTTTCTCAGTGATTCTCTCCCAGTGACAGAAGTCTAATACATCTCTGTGAACCCCTCAAAGTTCTTTTCTAAATAAGACACTATAGGTAATACTAAAAGGCCATGCAGAGCTGATTTACTTTAAAAATTTCAAGAGATAAGAAGACTAACACAGCAGTATAACAAAGGATTCCAAGGGTATGACATAAAGTGTAATGAGCTATAAACAAGTCCTTAAAGCACTATTAGAGATGTGATGGGGAGGGGACAGAAGAGAGGGTAACAGAGGGAATGAATATAAAGCAACGCCATTCTGTAGACATGGAAATGTCAAAATGAAGCCCATTACTTTGTACAATTACCAATGCTAAAATAAGCATAATTTAAACAATTAAATTTTAAAAATGAGAGGAAAAAGTCCTGAATGTGCTTATTTACATTATAGCTCAACAACAGAGCATTACCCAGCCCACATGAAGCCTTGGGTTTCATGCCTCGTACCATAAGCACATACTTCTATTTGGGTAGTGCCGCACACACAGTCCAGCACTTGGGTAGCTAAGGCAAGAGGATCCCCATGAGTTCAAGGCCAGCCTGGGTGATACATCAAGACCCGCTTTTCAGGAAAAAAGTCCTTAAACTTTTCGTCAGGCTAAGTGTGCGTCTGGAATGCACTGGCAAGATTTAAGAAAAGTGAACCACCGTTAATCACAGGCTGTAAGCACACCAGCTGAAGGCAGCAGAGAGAAGGCCACAGCAGCTGAGTCTCTGTCCCAGGAGCCAGGGGAAAGCATTCAACTGCAAGAGAACTTGGCAAGGCCCCTTGTTACTACTGGGGATAAAGTTTTGATCTCATCACAGAAAACATTTTCTAAGGTCTCCTCATGCAATATTTATAAGAGGCCATAAAGAGATGGGAGGAAAGCCATAGATGCTGAACAAAACCAAAAACCACCTTACCTCGGGGGCCCAGTAATGCCTTGAAATAGGTACTGAGTGATGCATCAAAATGTTCCATTTTAAAACCTATTAAAGAGAAAAGGAGCCATTGATTAGTGTCTACTCAAAATACTTCTTATATGCATTTTCCTAAAAGAACAAGAACAAGCCGTTTTCAAAGGTGCAAAGAGAAAGGTTGAATTCCTCCCGCAAAAACAAAACTGCTCTTAACTCCTCCATGCAACTGATATGCTAGGTCTAATTTGAAACTCAGAACAACGATGCATCCTGTGAACTCACATCAAAAACAAAGTCCCAGTTTTCCGAATGTCTTTTCTCAGTTCCATAAAAACCATCCCTGTGATGCTGAACCTCCGTGTGAAGAATGAACAGGACTGAAAGGTGAGAGACATCCATCCCCACAGGGAAATCACACTCAAGGACAAGAGGAGAGGAGTGGGGTCATCCTTGCTTGTTACTATATATACATAATATTGTATATAACATACATTGTATATAACATATACAATATAATTTAAAATATTCCTATTGTATTTATTTAAAGGGAGAGCAGGGGTATGGACATGGAAGGCAGAGGACAAGTTCCAGAATTGGTTCTCTCCTTCTACCGTGTGGGTCCATGGGGCTCAAACTTAGGTTGTCACACTAGGCAGTCAGTGCCTTTCCCTGCTGAGCCATCCTGCTAGCCCAATCCTTCCCCCAGTGTTGTTACTACAGCATTCTCTCTCTCTCCTCTCTCTCTCTCTCTCTCTCTCTCTCTCTCTCTCTCTCTCTCTCTCTCTCTCACACACACACACACACACACACACACACACACACACACACACACACCCCTTCACAGCTGCCATCCTTTTGCTGGTCCCCTTCCTCTCTCCCAGTCATATATACTCCAATAGCCATGTTCGACCCTCTCCCCCCTTAAAATAACTTGTGCTGTAGAATATTAGTTTAAGATGTGTTACATTTGTTACTGCTGTGGACCATTTGTTTAATGATGTGAAGATATGTTGCATTCTTTTACGATGTATTTGTTTAACTCTGTGAAGCTGTGTTACTCTGCCTGCCTAAAACACCTGATGATCTAATAAAGATCTGAACAGCCAATATCGAGGCAGGAAAGGAATAGGTGGGGCTGCCAGGCTGAGAGAATATATAGGAGAGGAAGAAGGATCAAGAAAAGGAGACGGAGAAGACGACAGGGGCCAGCCATCCAGCCACAGAGTAAGAAGTAAAGAAAGACATAGAATAAAGAAAGGCAAAAGCACCAGGTGGTGGTGGCGCACGCCTTTAATCCCAGCACTCAAGAGGCAGAGCCAGGTGGATCTGTGAGTTCGAGGCCAGCCTAGTCTACAGAGCGAGATCCATGATAGGCACCAAAACTACACAGGGAAGCCCTGTCTCCAAAAAAAAAAAAAAAAAAAAAAAAAGGAAGGAGGGGGGGGAGGCAAACATAGTTAAAGAGAAACTGGATAATTTAAGTTAGAAAAGCTGGCTAGAAACAAGCCAAACTAAGGTCGGGTACTCGTAAGTAAGAATAGGTCTCCATGTATTTATTTGGGAGCTGGGTGGCAGGCCCCCAAAGAGTTAAAAAAAAAAAAAAAGCAAAAACAAAAACAAAAAAACTTGTCACCTTTGTCATTATTTTAAATACTTCATGTCTACAGGGGGAAAAATATTAAACGTCTTGACCTCTAACCACAGTCCACTGGCCAAACAGAAGGAAGCCAGTGGTAGTACTTGAATAAACTGTTCCAGAAACAGCTCCCCTTTGAGCACAAAAAAAAAAAAAAGCTCACGATAAACAGATTTTTATAAGTTTGGACTGTAATCCATTGGCAAATGACCAAGCCAACTTAGCATTAAAAAATAATAAACTGATCACAGTGGTGAGTCAGTGCTTCATACTTAAGACTCTGGATTAATGCTGGGTGTGGAAGTACACGCTTTTGAGGCAACAGAAGTCTGAGTTTGAGGCCAGCCAGGTTTACACATAGTTCTACGTCAGCCAGGGTTACAAAGTTTGAGACCCTGTCTCAAAACAAGCAACAAGAGCTGGGCGGTAGTGGTGGCACATGCCTTTAATCCCAGCACTCAGAAGGCAGAGGCAGATGGATCTCTGTGAGTTCAAGGCCAGCCTGATCTACAAAGCAAGTTCCAAGACAGCCAATGACTGTTACACAGAGAAATCCTGTCTCAAAAAACCAAAAAGAAAAAGGAAGTACCTTCTAGATGGCTTAGGAAAAGTTACTGGCTTCTAGGTTCTCTCATATCCCTCTGTTTTAAGTCATGATTTGTGATATTTTGTGTACCTTTTTCTCAAATAAATAGTCTTCTCATAGCTTACATTTGAAGCCAGGTGTGGTGGGTTAATTTAAGTATAAGAGTTAGTAAGTAGCAAGCCTGAGCTATCGGCCAAGCATTTAAAAGTAGTATCAAGCCTCTGTTCAGTTATTTGGGAGCAGGTGTTTGGGACAGGAAAACTCCACTTACAGATATGATCAAAATATACTCTATCAATGCATGACATTTTCAAAGAATAAATACTGTGTAAAAAAAAATCACCAACAAAAAAGTTACACCAACATTGCAACTTCCAAGGGCAAAAGCGAAGCCAGTTTCAGTAACTGCTAATCATTCAGCCTTCCTTCCCGCTCTTGGCTTGCCACACTCAAGTATGTGTGCTCTCTGGCTGACTTCCAGATAAACAATTTCATGCATGAAAATATCTGATAGCTCTAGTATTTATAATTATGTCAATACAGCTGGAATATGAAATGGGGCTAGGAGAAACCACCAATGCTGGAATGCAGCAGCTCCTGAGCTGTGTCCAAGTATCTCTCCTGCTTTGGGAAGGCACTGGCTCCCTCAGCCTGTGGTAGAAACTGACAGCATCAACTTCCATCCCCAGTGATAGGCCACTGGTTCAGAAACAAAGACTAAGACTACTGAAGAGTCTCTTTCCCCCAAGGCATCTTACCTCTAGACTTCCTACCTGATGAGCACTCTTACTCAGTTAATGATGGGTCACACTAAAAGGATACAGGCACAGTTTAAGCTGGCCAATGAGTGGGTCGGGGCTGGGGGCTTTAAAAGGCAACTAAGCCTTGAAACCCATTTCTCTACTTACTCAAAATGTGGCAGGCAGGTTGTTTAACCTCCTATCTGTAAAGTGAGGGGAACAGTGAAGTAACTACCTCAACGACTGGATGATTATGGACAGCATTTATTTACTACATGTAAGTCCTTTAAGGCAGTGTTGGGGCGGGTAGGGAGCCCTCCTATGTCTGCTACCAGTCAGCCACAAATGTCTGTACTGCTCTGGGTACCACTGACATTCTGAGGGAAACGATCATTGCCCAGTACCTGATGGATCATTAACCCATCCCTGGTCCCTGTCCACTAAACAGTATCACTGAGTCTCCAGTTCTTCTGATAATCTTCAAAACCATTTCTAAGTATTACCAAACTGCTGGGGGAAAGGTGGGGTGTGGGGATGGGTAATAGTTCAGGAGAGGAACTTGAAAGAACAAGAGATTATCTAAATAAAGTCAAGACTTTTGAACGAAAACACTAAATATCGCCTGCTGTGTCCAACTGTGTGCAAACAGGGATGAACATTTAGAAGGATCACCCAGATGTGCCCAGAAGGTGTAAGGAACCCCAAACCAAACCCAGGTCTTAAAGACAGCAGATGTTAGAATGCACCTGCATGATAGCTGCATGCACACATTCAGTGCTATGCTGTAGGAATAAAATTCAACTAACAGCTTCTAACATCAGGAAGAGTTCCCAGAGAGACGCGAGGGTACAGTACAAGAGTCGTTCTCTTTGCTTGTTAGTTAAGAGGCTTTACAGAAGGCTGCAAGATTTGGTTTCCTAAGCAGAGGCCGAAGGAAAGCTGGAAACAAGGGTGAAGAAAGGCTTTAAATGGTACAATGCTAACTGGTTGTGTGTGTTGGGGAGTGGGGGAGTGGACAGGGCAAGAGAGCCATTAGTGGACTGGGAAAAAAATAAGTTCCGGGAACTGCTCTGAATGACCCATTATTCCAAAGACAACAGCCTAGGACAGAGTTCAGTTTGAGAATCTAGGCTAACGTGGCCGGAGAAAAGCAGCTTGACTAAACCTAAGGTCAAATTCCAGTCCAAGAGTACTGAATTCAGCAGCGGGATACCGAAAGGACTCGTGTTTCTAGTATTTGGAGACACTGAGGTCAGCACTGGAATGGATAATCTGTCTAACCTGCTCTGCTGTGAGGCCTGCAGGAGCTGGCATGCACAGGGGCTCCCTTCAAAGCACACCCAGGAGGAGACTGCCAGAGTGCCACATCTGTTCTGAGGACGGACGCCTTTCTTCTCAACTGCATGACCCTTCCCTTAGATCTGCAGAACTTTCCCCACCAAACTTAGGAACATAGGGAAAAAGCAGCCAGACAGTCTTTGAAAGAACAGACATGGGAAATGGTCAAGAGGGATGTAGTTCACACAACAGTTTGCTGGTCCTGGGATGAAGGGAAGTGGGGAGGTGGGCCTGTGACACAGGCCCTGATTATGGGGGAGGGGGTGGGCCCATGACTCCCATATGGGTGTGTCCATATGCTCTTCAGAGCTGAGGCTGTTTCTTCTTAGAAGGTACAAAGACAGACATCACCAAAGGCACCAAATGCCATACAACTCACCGATCCACACCATTCGTGTTTTTCATTTACACCTACACTTACTGTCTACACCAGGTGCTAGGCATGAAGGCCTTAAAACCTAAGAGCTACAGTAGTTTAGAAAACAGAACTCAAGGTGGGGGAGAAAGAAATAATATGAACAAACAGCAGTCTAAATGGTTTGAATGACCTGCAACCACTGCAGTCTGAAAATATTAAAGTGAAAATAGAAAAAATAATTCCTGGTTTTTGACTGTAAAATGCTCTGAGGAAAGAGGAGCAATTCACACCATCCCGTCTGGAGCACAAACTTCTTGGTCCAGGGCATCCCCACCAACTACCAATGCTACCAATGAGGCAAGCGCTCAGTCACATCTATTTATCAGACTGGCTGTTCACACGGCCTGTGTT